TTAACTTCAATCCTTCATGGTCACCGATAATGTCCTATAAACAGTAGTGATCATCAGTACATTTTCTAAAATGCTCCCGATGTAAGAACAGATCTTTTTTTATTGTCAGATGAAGCTGCAAATTTCTCATCTTCAAAGTTTTTAGTCCACAACAAATGTAACTAGCAAATGAATCAGGGCTTGGTTAAACCAACTGCTGACAGTCCAGTAAATCCCTGGGGGTCGGGTGGTTTGGGGTCAGTTATAAAAGTGATGTTTCATGTTTACAAGATGACCACATTTTGTCGTTTTTATGATTGTGTAGTCTGTGTTTGAGAGGGGCGAGAGGTGTCAGCTGATGAGCAGCTCTTTGCGAGTACAGCAGGACACAAATATTTCTGTGTGTATCCTCACAGACAGAACTGTGTATGTACTGTGCAGGGCTCATTGCACAGTTTAAGGAAAGGATGAATAAACAGAAATTGCATCAGCCTGACTGGACCCAGCTGCTGCTTTAGATCAGATCAGCTGTGGTACAGTTGTGTGTGTGTGAAATCTCCATCTACTGATTTATGTTGGTGGCCAGGAGAAAAACTAAACATCCCAGTCCAACATTTTCCACTTTTCTTTTGTTTGTTTCCTCCAGGCGTTGAGGACTCATCCAGTAATGGCATGTCTGGTGATAGCTCAGGGTTTGAGGATGTGGCAGCCTTCCCCCCTCCTCCCCCACCAACAGAAATCAGCCTCCTAGAGCTGCCACCCAAGATGCTGCCTCAGCCCGGTGGTTTTCTTATCAAGGAGCTCGAGATCTGGCCCGGTGTGTCATCCCTGCCTCCAGTGCAGATGGGCTCCGAGGTGGAGGACAAGGATAAGGGGAAAGGGTCCATGCAGAATGGCCAACCCCCAAATCCACCATCACCACCTAAAACGAGCACCCCACCCCCACCACCCCCACCTCCGCCACAGTCTGAGCCTGCAACAGATGTCCTAGTCACAGCCCAAAGTCCAGCCCAGGTGGCACCAGACTCTCCTCCATCCACAGGCAAGCTGTCTCCATCCCCTGGGAAGGACGGTCCCCCACTGCCTACCAAGCCTAAACCAAAGCTGTGAGTACCTGTGGTGTCCCCATGTGTCTGTGTCCCGAGGGCAGGCCAGTCACCAGGGAAGGCTGGTGGGAGGGAGACAGACTGGGAGGCCTGTCTGAGGTCTGGTGGAAATGATAGTGTCTCAGCTCTGTGAAAGGGTTAACGGGGATATCCCAAGCCTTTTTAGAACAAAAGCATTCCCTCTGCCTTTATGTTGGTGTCACTGTGGCATCGTGTTAGCCAGGGCGAGCCTGCCTGCTGCTCTCTGTCTGTGGCTGTAAACAGATCTGTGTGGCTTTTGCTGGATGGCTCCTATTGTGTCTGTCTGACCTCGGACTGCATGCCCAGCCCAGGACAGAGCCATTGTGTTTATTTCCTGAGCACCTTTCTGTGAGCTCTATAGGGATCAGGTAGGATGTCACTGTTATTAGAGGAGAATTGAATGGCTTTATCTTCAGTGGTCCTGTGTTTTGATTCTGATTCTGCCGTGGACAGGCCTCTTGTGCATGGATTTTTATCTCACATGCTGATGCATTTCTTTTTCATTAAAGTTTTTTTTTTTGCCTTTATTAGAATAAAATACCACAGACAAGAAAAAAGGAGAAAGACACAGAGAAGGGATGGGAGGTCCACGTCCTGACTTGAACCAGGGAGGTTACAATTACAAGAGTAGCATCTTTATCCCCTACTAAAGTCTACCAGGGTGTCTCACTGATGCCTTTCTGGTGACTAATGACAGCACAGCATACACAAATAATTGCAGTGTATTCTTCCCCCTATTGGCTGGTTTAGAGATATTTGTTTTCTTCTCTTCTCTTTATTTTAGCTGTTTTAGAGACAGTAAGTCTGTCGGTTAGCCGGTTTGCTCACCACGTTGTTCCAGACTAACATATCTCGAACATACATTTGATGGATGGTTATTAAATTCTGTAAAAAAATTCATGATTCCCAGAGGATGAATCCTACTTTTTTTCTGGTGCGACCAGCAGTTCAAAATATTATTCAGTGAAATATCTCAACGTTTACAAGATGGATTGACAACAAACTTTAACATTTGTTGTTCCCAGACGATGAATCCCCTGAATTTTCATCTAGCGCCACCATGAGGCTGACATCTTTTAATGGATTGTGGTAAAATTTGGTGCAGATGTTTATGGTCTGCAGAGGATGTATTGTAAAAACTCTGACTTTCATCTAGCACCATCAACAGTCAATATTTCTGCTTATTCAATACTTCGGTTTATGACTACATTCTTGCTTCAGCTTTACCTTGTATTTGGTACCACTTAGCAAATATTCACATGCTAACTTGCTCAACTAAAATGTTAAACATTATACCCGCTGACCATCAACGTGCTAGCATTGCTGACATTGGTCTTTAGCTCAAAGCCCCACTGTGCCTAAATACAGTTCACAGAACGTCTTGAATGGTCATAGACTCCTATACCCCTTTTCCACCAAATTAGCTCTGGTTCTTGAACATGTTCTGTTCAGGATTCACGGAACCTTAGTGTTTTCTAGCAAATGAGCCTTCTTTTCCACCAGGTTTGAGCCGAACCATTGTTTTCAAGGATGCATCATTAATGGCGAGCACTGCGCAATGCAGTTTAAGTAAAAAGTAGTAGTTTTGGTCAATATGCTCAGAACAGTTCAAAATTAAGTGCTCAACCCGGAACAGATCCAGTTTCATGTTGGTGAACAAAGGGATACTGGGGCAAATTCACAAAGAATGGATTGTGGCCGCTGATAGCACCATAAATAGCTCATCTGCCCTGTCTCAAGGTTTGATCACAAAAGATATTGTGCTGATGATATTACAGTGCAAACACAGCCATAAAGTTTTACAGCTGAGCGCAATTATTCATGGGGCAAAGTAAAAATGTTGCCTTTGCACCAAGAACACAGTAGGCAGAACACTGGCAGAGAGAAAAAGAAAACTGAAATTTTCTGACTGCAACCTACAGGTCCTGACTGACAAGGTGCAGAGACATTCCTCTAAACTTCAGGCAAGGACTTTAAACGAGACAGACAGAACTCATATTTGGAATTAAATATTCTAGTCTGTCAGTGCCATTGGTGCTGCATATGGGTGTGACACCCCTTATAAATCAGCTTCAGTTACCACCAACTCTCTGAAGACGCTAATAATTTTCACTCTAACTGCGTGTGGCTATTAGAACTCATTTTTGAGAACTGTTTTTGCAATAAGGCTCATTGGCATAGACAGGGGCCAATAATGTGCTTAATGTGTGCATATGACCTAATTTAAATACATGCAAATAGCGCAGGAGCACTGAGATGCTATTTGCTTGGCAGCGGAGTTAGGGGTGCATTTCACCCTTTGCGGGTGCTTTCAAAATTACACTTTCTTTTAGTTTTATTTATGCAGGTTTAGCAGCTGCAAAAGCCACGCAATCTTCTTGTGAATTTGCCCATCAGTCCTTTTTTGGCTCTTCTCTTATTTTTCGCTCTTCATATTTTCCCCTGCAGTTTGACAAAACTTAGGTGGGGAGTTTTTTTGTAGAGGTGTCTAATATTACTGTCACAGTGTTAAACAATGTGAGCAGTATATCCCATCAAAAGCAGATGGTTAAAAGTGTTGCTGTAGGTTATGACAGGCTGCATTTAGACTAGAGTTTGGTTACAGTGCAGTAAAGCTTGGTTCTTGCATTGCACAGTCGATTTCCACTGCATGTGTACTGGGCTTTCTGCTGATGGATGCTACAGTATTGCATATCTGTTGACATAAATGTCGTGACTTGTTAATTCTGTGCTTCCAGAGCTGAGAATATAGAGGAGGAGGCGGAAAATTACAGGTAAATATTTGACTGTGAGGGTGATGCTCTGGATGTGATCTGAGTGGCGCCACACGTAGCCTCATTAATCAAGCTATCACGGATGCAAACACAGACACAACAGTAGAAATTACGTTAAAGTTTCTGACTCATTCCGTATAAAGTGCTTTACATTACTACACTGTGGGATGATGAATGAGAGGCAGCAGTGAGACAAGAACTGAGTGGAATCAGCTGATAATATACAACAAGAGAGATTAATATTCCAATCTGTAAATCAATTTTCTTTTGTGCCGTGCAAAACATTAATGAGATTGATCTTATGAATATGAAAAAGATAAAAAATAAACAGACTTTTGTCTCCAGATCAGACCTCTATGCTGGATGAATGAGGCAGTAAAGCTGCTTCTAACAGTTTATCCATAATAACAACGTAAATACATTACTAAAAACAATCAGCTCCCAACTGTGAAGCAATTAGAAAGCACACACCACCCCTCTCCCCTTTAAATTCTATAATTACACAGTAAAAACAGCAGCCCCGCCATTAACCAAAGGTCACGTTTCTGCCAGACTGCACTCTGTTTCCTCAGGTAGTATGTAGGGAACAGAGACTGACCACTCTCAGCCTAAGACCTTCGATTTTATCATGGAGTTCATCATATCCTGTTTGTCGTGTGGCACATCCCCTGCAGACTGATAAACTGTTTCATCCCTGTGAGTCACATGCTGTTATGAAACATCAGCAGAGCTCAGTAAAGCCTGCAGCTTTTGAAAATGCTCCTAGTTTGTTACTTTAATTGTTTTTTTTTAATTTACATTTTATAGGAGTTCTTTTTAATAAGCAACACTAACAGAGCATGTTGTTGAGAAGCTATAAATCCGATAGACAGAGTGGAAACTATGCTGTGTATTTTTAGAACAAGGCAATATCATGAAATACCCTAATTGTTTAAGTATATTCACATAAAGGCAGTGGGGATCAGTATAGATGGAGTTTTATTACCTGCAGTTCAGTGTCTATTTAATACTTATCGAGAGTTATTCCTACAGTTTTCAGGATTTCTGTACATACAAGCCTCTGCTCCCACGTAAATGTGACTCATATGCGGATATCCCCAAAAATGAATCTCAGTCGTTATTAATTTATACAGGGACAGCTGCATTTAATAACATTACAATGTTAACACTGGTGTTTGTAGCTATTGGTAGATGTGTACATGTTCACAAATCTAGAATAACTCGTTCTAAATCATATGAATAACACGCTGGAAGCCTGTGTAAGGGATGATTTTTGCTTCAATAACACCGAGCTGATGAGATGGAGGAAGTCGTTGTGTGACTTGGCAGGCAGGCGGGACTTCAGGAGACCTGAGCTGTGAAAACAGACCCGCTGTTTTTTCTGTGCTGAAGGAAGAGAGAGCAGGGTTGGTAGGCATTTTGGTTTGATGCCCGGCGTTAATGTCAGACGTCAGGATAAGAATCAAAGGAAATTCTCAGGGGAGAGGCCCAGATTGGCCAGTTGGATTCGAACCAACCATCAGGTTTGGAGAGAAAGCAGAGTTGTACCACATGGTAGAGAATAGATAGATTGCAAATTGGCAGCGCAGTCTCGTTGTAGCTTCCTCTGGAGGGCAACATTTTGTCAGTAATTCTGCACATAGAAACAAATAATATTTGGTTACTTGCTATAGTTGTAAAATTGATGGATGTGTTGTTTTCAGACTACTGTAAGCAGGATAAAACCAACAAGTGACACAGAGTACAGCCAGTGTTTTTACTGCCCTCTCATAAACTGCTCCGAGGATTAAGCATACAAAGCAAACATACTTTGCTAAAATTACCTACTTCTTAAGGTAGATTTGTTATGTATGGCAACTAAAAGTTATCTTGGGATCGAAGCCTATTTGATTGAAATGGTCTTGAAGATAAACTGGGCTTCCTGCAGAAGCATCTAAATCAGGGATGTCAAACAAACGGCATGCGGGCCAGAATCAGCCCACCAAAAGGTCCAATACAGCCCACTGGATGACTTGGCACACCTAATAGTGATGCAGTGAATCATGGATTCTGCGTCCAAGTGTTTGTGAGGGTCTCATTTGGTCCACATGACATAAATGTCATCATCCACCCATGGTCGTGAGGGTCCAAAGAGGCCCTGTACAGACGTCCACATACAGCCTATGGTCATGTGGACTGTACGCATAGCAGACAAAGCAAGTTCGATCCTAAACACTGCAGTCAAGACAGCCACAGCCAACTCACCACAGTGAAGTTAGTTTAAGTTGGATATTTGACAGACAATCACTCCACCCAAGCAGCTTCTTCGTTGTTTCTTTTTCACCTGATTCTGGCAGTTGGAGGACAGTAAGCTCACTGGCTGACATGGACCCTCAATTGTACTATGAATACAGCCACGGGCACATCAGCATGACCACAGCTGTCCGCGGACATTCAATACAGAAACTATGTCCGAGCCTTAAGAGGTAACAGTATACACTTCCCTGGAATAACAATGAATACTGACTGTGGTCATTTTTAAAGATATTAAACATTGCGCAAAACATCAAAGTCAATCAGCAGCTTCAACCTTAAAACAACATCGGTGGATCTCTATTGCTAAGGCACTGCCAAAGGGTCTGTAAGCCAGGGGATAACCTAACCTGCTTCCTCAATAGCTTCCACTTTAGTTTGGTGTGGTGATGCCAGCATTACCACACAGGAGTGGACATGTGTGGAAAAATGCAGTGAGTAGTAGACTTACTGAATGTTGAAGTTATTTTTCTTGAGACATCTCAGGGTTTTTCACCATCTGTGAATGTTTTCAGAAGTACTTCTTTACACTAAAAGAAAGGGAAAAATTTAGAGTTGTTCTTAAAAGGTTATTATGCCATGGTTTTACTGGTCCAGTCGAGTCAAGTCCCTTGTCTAAACAAAGATCTGTCAGAATTTTGTACTACCGTTATTTACAGCTCTGAATAGCACTGAGAGAGGATACTACGAGACAAGCCATAATTCAGCTGGATGACACGTTGTATCTCAAAGTAAGGTCACTGCCATGTTGGACAGAGTTATTGTCTCTCCTGAATCGACAACACAACTCCCCTCTGTTCAGGGCTATCCAGGGTTTAACTGTACACATGTGACCATATGCAGGGCCACATCATGAGAGACTGATAACACATGGAGCTTGTAAATTTGCGTGTGAGTGAGCGCTCATGCACATGCGTGTCTGTGAGTATGTGTTGATGGATGAGGTGTCAGTGATGCTGGTGTTTGGTGTCAGCTTTTGTATATTGTTAAAGGTACACGTTTGCCCAGTGTGACATTTCACAAGGACGTTTCTTCCCTTCATGTCTGTGTAATGACATACCCTTGCTAGTACAAGAGGTGCCTGTGGCTGTGTGTTTTCACATTTCTTATACCCAGATTTCACTATCGTAGCTTTGCTGTTGAGATAATGCCTTCCTTGTGTTGCTAAGTCACTTACATACCTCTAGGTTGGAGGAAAGTACATGATGATGAAGTGAAACAATAATATTGAGTAACCATTTCAAGAAACCAAAGCCTGTAAAACGAGACTCCAAGACAAAGGAGGAGACAGTTAAAAGTGTCAAGCCAGTGCAACACGTCGAAGGTGTGACCACACTGATATTGACCGTGATAATAGGGGCAAAGCATTATATTATAGGGTGGGATAATGTCTGGGTGGGCGTCACGCACAGAGCACGAGTAGCAGAGGCAACAATTATCCTCGAACCATTCCACAGCTTAATCTCTCTTTCATAAGACCAGGAATCAACTTTGACAGTTGAAATTGTTCTCTTGCACGTATTTCATTCCACACAGTGCTGTTCATGTGTCAGACGAACTATCACTAGCAACGTGTCTGTGGATTTTTACAGTATGTTCATTTTTACTCAGTACGCTAAGATTACAGATGATGAAAAACAGGCACACACGTCGACACTGAACAGGACCTCAGTTTAGCCTTCTCTAACTACACTGCGGGTCTAAAATGATTCCAGTATTTGCTGATTATTTGCTAAAGAGATGGCGTAGTAAGTAATGACTGACTGGGTAATCTAAGTAGGGTGGTAGCATAAAGCCAGATGGTGGAAAAAGAGAGACCTATGTTGTGTGTGTTAATTTAAACGAAGCAAAGACTACTGGTCATACGGTAAGCAGTGCCTGCACTTAATTATAAAGAGTTTTGAACTAATATTTTAAGTGCAGCTAAAGAAAAAGTAGCCCCCCCCCCCACATCAACGCACTAATTTTGGTGGAAAGTTTTACATGTGTTTAGAAAACTGCGATACCAGTACCCTGAAACTGATACCAATACCAACAAGGTATTTCATTTAGTACCTTTTTCCCCTACTACAGGCGTGTGCTACAGCCATACTTGTGAACACTTTGGTGGCATCCTGGCATGTTTAACTGCCAAGTCTGTCAAATACACTGCGTTTGACTTCACCACTTCACTTCAAAGACTGTATGAGTTGTAGCCGCTGCGGTATTGTGCCAATGTCACGTCACATTAAATGGCGGAATGCTTGCGTTTATTGGCTGTGAGAAAAAACATACAAATAATCATTCTTTTTGTGAATCTGTTTGTAAAAATAATTAGATGCACATATCGTTTGACTGGAGAAGTTTTGAAACTACTTAGTACTGAGTTGTTTTTTGATCAATACCTTACCTAAAATTACTATTACTTTTTCAACATGCAATAATTGGTGCAATTATTCAACTGTGCAATAATCTTAACACCTCTTGAACATACATAATTATTCAACATACAATGCACATTATTGTACATACTTTGTATGTTTATTGATGTATATATTGTAGTAACCATTACAGCACAATAAATGTTTTATAGTTATAAATGTAACATTAGTTTATACAGTGTAATGTAGCACAATGCACATATTTGTATATTTTTACACACTTAAAGACTCACCACAGTGAAGATGTACATTTTATTCCTACTTTCTCAAGTACTAGTGTAAACATAGTAGCATAATGCACATTTTTATTTCTATTTTTCGAATTTATTACTATATATTTACATACTTCTATTTCATACTCATAGTCTTACTTATTATAATTCTCTATTCTTTACATCAGAGCAACTGAAATGAATCACAATTTCCCCTCAGGGATCAGCAAAGTATTTTTGATTCTGAATAAAGAATGATCGTTACATTTTAAAGTGAAGTTTTTTTACCGATACTCTTTTAACTAAGAGCAAACAACGACAAATTACCGAGTGCTCACAGGTGAGAGGTAGTGGACTCCAGATGAGTGCCAGGTGCTCTTGAAGTTGAAAATCGTCAATTATAGAAAAACAAAAAAGCACAAAGCTTGCTTCAGGCACACCGACAGAGCCAAGGATATTATAAAATGCCTTTATTAATTAGGGCATGTCAATATAAAATAACTACGAAACGCCGACCGGTTTCGACCATACAGGGTCTTCGTCAGGGTGTGAAAGAGACGAAGACCCTGTGTGGTCGAAACCGGTCGGCGTTTCGTAGTTAGTTTATATTGACATGCCCTAATTAATAAAGGCATTTTATAATATCCTTTATAATATCCCTTAACTACGAAACGCCGACCGGTTTCGACCACACAGGGTCTTCTGAAGCAAGCTTTGTGCTTTTTTGTTTTTCTATAATTGACTCTTTTAACTAACCTAGAAAGAAAATTTTTTGCTCACAATGACAATTTAAAAAAACCTTTACACTGTGCAGACCAAGCCTCAAAGGCACAGGAGCTTAGATCAACAGTGTGCAAGTGACGCCATGTGTGTCACTTACCAACTTTAATGTGTCCTGGCTTTGCACACTTACATACTGCAGTGATAAATATGAGCAATGGTCTAATCCACTTTAATGTGGCCTGTATTGCATGCAGCTTGACTTTATACCTTTCAATCCCTGTCCGCTGACATAATTGCCATACCACTGAGATTAAATGATTTCTGCAGTAGCTCCAAACCTCTTTAACCCCAGTGAGGCTGTTGTCAGGGGAACAGCATACAAACTGAAGGAAACAAACAGCTCTTTGCCAAAAGCCCTCATCAGTCTCCCACTGTCACACACATACACACAATGTCTACTTGTGTTTACAGTGTAAAGACGCAGCAGGTGATTGGTTGTTGCTGTCCATGCCTCTGAATTTGTTTTTTTACAATAGACTACTGATAAGATTTTTTTATGTTGTTCTATGAATTTGCATCCAATTTTTCTATATTCTTCCTGTGCTGCATTGTGGAGCAAGGAGCTCTGGCTGCCAGGATTTGTCGCATATCTGCGCTGTGACTCAGAGCTTCCTCACAGCAGTGTGTTTGTGTTTACGAGGTGCAAGTCATGAACTCTCTAATGAAGTATTAACAATCACTTTCTTGTCGAGGTGTTGCTTGCGGTTTTATGGAAAGCGGGAAACATGCATGCTAAAGAACCACATATGGCACTGGATACACACTGAGAACTTTGCTTGTGGGTTTATCATCATCATCAAACGTCTAATTAAAAATGGAAGTAAAACACTGAGTGTGGATCAGTTCCCTAACTGATACCTTCACTTCAGTGAACGCAGGCCAGAAAGGTTTTTGATTACCAGCACATGGAGGAAAAAAAAGGGCAGAACCAGAAAGTTAATTGTCATCAGGGAGAAAAGGAGATTGTGCAATAGAATAAAAAGCTAAATGAAGTCACCAGAGACTCAAGGGAGCAGGAAAAGCAGATAATTTCACATCAAACCTCCAGAGTGAGAGATGGGCAGTCCTTAAAAGGACATGGGAGACACAGGATTGGCTGAGACACCAGACCAACTAACCACTGGATTGGTCGGTCGGGCTAGAATGACCTGCGTGGAATGGAGAAACTTTCCAAATAAGGAAGAGAGTTGTTGGAGCTGACCTTCACAACACAGAGAGGGGGCTGGAAGAAAGAGGGGTGAGCAGAGGGGAAAGGGAGCGATGAAAAGACGCATGGAGAGATGAGGGGAGCAAGAGACCAGGGTGTATGCTTGGGAGTTGACAGCATGGAAACTAACAGGCCTCAATGATCCCCTCATAGAAAGCAGACTGTGTTTCCCAGGAAAGAACACCCTGGTATGTTAAACACTGAGAAACACACAGATAAATACACATTACCGTACACACACACACACACTCAGAGGATCACATTGTTTCCGGATGAGGTCAATCAACGTCTGATTAAATCCTGACCTTGGCTGTTGGTGCGAGCGGTGTGTGTGTGTGGCTGCAAGTGTGGTATAGACTTGATCTCTCTTTAGACACACTCCCAGTCAGACCAACACACCACTTCCACTTGTTAATTAGAGGGTGTAATAATGTATACACACACTAATCTCATGACACAGCTGTCACCAAGAGCCGGCTCTGAGCGCAGAGGAGATTCACTCTGACTCGCATTTTAGTGTCAGTGAGTCAATACACATGGAATGACTCGCATCTCTAGAGAGAGGAAGACCCTCTCCTAATGGATCCCTGACCTTTCCCCAATATGCAGACACACTTACAACCACACAGGGCCAGATCCCTGGGCTCCCACCTCCCATCAACACGCTGTGATTCATCAGCAGCCTGGAAAACACACGGCGGCTCTAAAAATAGAGGTATTACACATAAAAATAGAAATGATAAGTTCCCAAAAAGGTTTTGTTTCATGCTACAAAAATGAAGGAGAAAACTCTCTGATTGAGAAACTGAATATTTGTGAACATATTTCAGTGAATGAAACCTGATCTGTGCGGTTGTGTTGGGAGTGACTTCGTCTCCATATTGTTCCAAAGGTCTAATACTGCACGTTACATAAAACTATTATGTTCCACATTCTCAGCATTGTTCTCTGTGTACATGTAAAGGGTGGACGGTGTTTCTGCGTGGCCATAAAGAATAACACAGAATGTGGATTTTATTTCCAGAAAGGGCGTTGTTTCAAACGTACAATGGGCAAACTTCATTTGTGTCATCCATTATCACAGGTGATTAATTTCTCAAATCTGTCTTCTATTCTCTCTCCTCTATCACCCTGTCTCTCCAGCCTTTTGTCAGTCAGGAAACAATACAAATGT